CTTTATGAACCCAGTAGTGGGTCAAGAACATGATTACGATGGATGATTCTAGAAACGCAAGAACGCCGACATCCACGACGGTGATGAAGACGGCGAAGCGGCTTGAGGTCGTCGCCTGAGATGCTAGGACTCTAGGACCGGCGAAGAAGATGGAGGCAGCAGCCTGAGACGCTCTAATTTGTGGAATTGGAGTTGGATTTGAGACACTATTTCGTCGACGGGACACTCTACAATTGTGGAATTGGAGTTGTTTTGATCTGATCTCAAATTGTGGAATTGTTTTTTGAAGAGGAAAGTTTTCAAAAAAAGAAAAGAAAGAAAAGATAATTAATAATAAAATATTAATAAAAAGGGATTAAATAATGTAATATTAGAATTTATTAATTATTCTGTTTTTAGTCCGACACTACCACAAACGCTTTACTAAGTTAGTTCAAGTTAGTCTAATCTAAGCCAGTCCAACTTAATCCCTGAATCTAGTCCAGTCAGAAATAGTCCGATGCAACAAACACACCCTAAATGTTTAGCCAAGAGGCCCATGTTCCATCTTCTTTTCATTTTTTGGTCAATGCATTTTGTATTTCTTATTCATTTGTTAGAAGTTTCAAAGTTAGGGTACCCATTAAATTTTTTCTTTTTTTTACATGGTGGTTTTTAGGATACAAACACTTATCAAGTGCAACACTTACATCATCCATGTGATTGTGTATTTGTCTAATGAGATGATGTAGTGGACATTTGAAGTAGAGAAAGGACTTGCCCACATCGAGTTTCCAATGCCGGAAACAACCATTTGTTTTCAAAGCCTTTGGATGCTTGGCAGAGGTTCGGGAAGGTGAAGGTTCATGGGTTTGGGGTAAAAACTAGAATTGGGTTTGATGCGTATGTGTGTAACTCACTCATTGACATGGTTGAGAGTTTCAAGCAGGTGTTTGATGAAATGCCTGAGAAAAGAAACAGGCTTTGTTGGAACGTTACAATCTCGAGGTATCTTAGGTGCAGGACATTTGAGGAGGCTTTGGATGTGTTTCGGGGGATGCGATGTGAGAGCAACGAGAAGCCTGATGAAGCTACGGTTGTAAGCACCATTTCAGCTTGCACAGCGTTGAAAAATTTGGAGCTTGGTAAAAAAAAAATTCATGAATATGTTAGAAGTGAACTTGGATTCACTACTAGAACTGGAAATGCATGAATGTGGTTGTTTGGAAGAAGGTCGGAGAATTTTTTATGAAATGCCGATGAAAAACATGTTCCCTTGTACTAGTATGGTATCTGGCTCTGTAAATTGTGTAGGTTTGCTGAGGCAAGAGAATTGTTTGATGGGTATGTAGAATACAATTGTACTACCATTTTGACGAGGCGGCGGCTCTATTCCAAGAGATGCAAACTAAAATGTTAAAAGGGATAAATTTACAGCGGTTGCTCTTCACAGGCTGTGCTCGGTTGGCAGCATTAGGGCAAGGGGAATGGATTCACAGGTATATCGAATATAACAGCAGTAAAACTAATGCAGTTGTTGGTACCGCAGTTATAGAAATGTATGCGAAATGTGGGAGCATAGACAGGTCTTTGGACTTCAATCATTTGTGGGCTTGCAATGAATGACAAGACAAGCAAAGCAATCGGGTTGGGTACGGAGGGACTAGGGGAGGGAGACCGTGGTGGTGCTGATTTTCAGATCAACTTTGGTGGCTGTTTAAGAGAAGAAGAAAAAGAGTTGGTGCGAGAGGAAAGGGAAAGCCTGCATCCCTAGGTCAATTTTTATTTGTTTAGTTTAAAAAAAAAATTTAAATCTTTTGGTTTATTTGAAATTTTGGTTTTTTTATTTTTTATTTTTTATAATTTTTAATTCCACATGGACCCTTACACATGGCGCTCAATCATTGTCCACATGGGCGCCATGTTATTAGTTAACGGGAGACTTAACAGCCAGACTAACGGATGTATGAGACTGTTCTAAAATTAACACTTTAGATATGACTCTGGGACGAAAAAAACTTCATGTTCTAAATGTTGAAAACCACAAAACTCAAGGGTAGTAAACTGAGATTTATCTTTTTTTTTATATATATATTTAAATTTGAATATGAACAATACCTGACGAAAGTTAACCACCCGATATATGATAAACAGAAGCGATTTAAGGATCCAAAGAGAATCCTCATTCCCCACCACCCACCACCCACCATTCTTCCTAAACACCCTTAAAAAAATAATAATTCCCAATATCATCACCCCACCTCTCTCTTCTTCCTTTTGTCTTATAAACCCTAACTTCATTTTATCATCCAATATTTCCTGTACAAGCTCACTTATTTTCTATCATAACTTTGCAGTTTTTCAAACAAAAACATCTTAACTCCATGTCATATATTCACATTTCATTATTTTTATAATTACTGTCTAAAAGGTGCATGTTAATCATTCGCTACGTGCTTGTACATAGCCGGCCGGACATTAAAACTACAATTTTATAATACATTAAAAAAATGATTGGACCCATTTTTAAGCATCTAAAACATACCCATTCCTTAGGCCCAACTTGAGGCCCAACAATAAATAGAACAAAGTTCTTTTTATTATTGAAGATAGATATAACAATTTATTACACGACCTATTAACCTGATCTGATACAAAACGCACAAAATAAACGGTTTCGAGTTAACTAATATGTTTGATCTTACTGACAAGCAAAGAATGCACACAACTTTGTTTCACACTCATGAATGAGATGATGATCGTTAGATTTCTAAAACCTCATAAAAATTGCTCTCAAAATCTACCCCAGAAGAAAACACACTTTTGCTCTCAATATGCAGCAAGCGTATTTTTAGAATACGCAAAAGTTAATTTCCCACAATACAGACTTGGTTATTTAAAGGGAAATTGAAGCCTGTGACTTTGGGCGAACCAGTTAGATAAAGCTATGTCATATTTGACATTTTCAAGGTTTTTGTTCTCATATAATCTCCTTGATTCCTCCCTCTTCCCTCCCATGAACCTCGCATCATTCTTTTCCATTCCTCGCGTTTTCATATACTTTCTTTCTATCTCTAAAAACAAACGAAAATTAAAAACTAAAAAAGAAATAGTTATCTAATTAACAAAGAAATTCGCAGCATTCGATCCAGAAGCAGCAAACATATCAGAACACTCTCCACTAATAATCCAAAACGGTAGAGCCATCATCTGTGACAAATTATTGTTGTACAACACAAAACCCCAAGCGTTCAAACCGACATTCGTGACCATATGCTTAATATAAGCCATCTTAGTTGTAATGGTCACCAAATAGGCAAACACCCACGAATACGCAGACAAACTAAAACCCGAATCGGTAGCCACATAACCAACAGCTCCACCCAAAATGATCAACAACGATACAAAGGTAAGCTTAGACGGGATTGGCTGCTTCCTAAACGCAGTAGCCGCCAGCGCAACCAAAAGGGGCGTGCACGCCGTGCAGGATCTAAACACTATAAACGTATCCACATTATGGCGAAGAAGATTGGCGTTGGTAAAGATATCAAGGTAAAACACAAGTGCAGCGGGCAAAAACTTCTTGGCCGTCTGCCATGTGAAGGGATCGTGGTGCAAAAATCCCGACTTTCCCAAACCCCAAACTCCCAAAGCAGATGTAAGTTACTGCAATGCAGTCAAAAGGCCAGGGTACTTGAATTTAGTAATGGCAAACGTGTTTATCACGGCTAACAAGCTAGAACAGAGAGCGTACCCAATCACAAGACTGCTCGTAGCGAAATACGGCTTAGCCGAATCGACTCTAATCGCAGGACATTGTCACTAACTAAAGTACCCAATTCGAATTCAGAGCAATAAAAATCTAGCAGATCTTCAAAATTTCAAGAGCCATATGTACAGTGAAAGCCTACACTAACAGAGGCAAGTGAATGAAATCGAAGACGTGAACACTTCATAGAGAAATCTGAGATATGGGTTTTGAAGATTATGCCGATCTACTATTTGGGTTTGAAATTAATGCATTAAACGACAATTGAATCGGTTGAAAGTAGAGCTATGGAAGAATTGTACATCACCGACATGTAGAAAAGCCCGGATCTTTGAAGCGAAACGAAGAGGATGACGGGGTTGCGGCGGAGGTAGAGATCTAGGAAGGAGCTCCGGCGAGCTAAGAGGAGCGAAGTGAAATTTCTAAGGCGTTGCAGAGCAGGGAGGCTTGTGGAGTGGAGGAATAGCATTGAAATTTATAGGAGGGAGCGTTTTGAAGACTTTTTGGTTTTTAAATCGAGTAAGATATATTTAATATCTGCTCTGATTTGTTGAAGATCCTGCAGATTTATAGGGATGTGATTGTGAATATAATTCTCTCCCTTTTTTTTTTAAACAAAATTTCTCCCTTTTTTTAACTGATTAAAATAATTGTTTTTTATGTACGGGAGAGAAAAGAAGGCAAAAAAAGAGGAGGTTTGATTTCCACCAATGAGAGGTGATGCAGAGAGGACGTGAGGCCACGTCCTAATTTGTTAAATGTTTGTTTTGCCAAGAAGCTCATGTTCCATGTTATTCTCTTTGAACCGAATGGCATTGACATTAGTGCTTCTTATTAATTTGTTAAAAGTTTCAAAGTTAGGGTGCCTAATCAAATTGTGTACTTGACATAATAGATTTTAGGATACATGACCCTTATGATTGTGCATTTGTCTAATCAGACGATGTGGTGGACGTCGAATTTTTAACTATGCTAATATTTCAAATTAATATTGTGATACTGTATGTAAAAAGATTTATACGCGATATTACAGTATTGACTCGAAAATTATAATGATGTTCTAAAAGTGAACGCGAGTCCTTCTTTTTAAGTGGTGATACACAATTCAATGAGTCAACAACGACCCAAATGGTACCCCCTTGGTGGATCAAATAGGCCATTCTATGAGTAAGGAAGATGGTATTTTATGGTGGTTATATTGAGTACATATTCGTACGTAGTCAGACTATGATGCTAATTGAAAATCACGAAATTTGATGGTAGTAAACTGATATTTACCCTTCTTTTTTTAACAATTTATGATGCTAATTGTAAAATGTAGCAGAAGTTTTTTTAACCTATAATATCATTTGATTTCAATTCATAATTAATTCTTTTGTTAACTTTAAGCTTGATTATGTTGATAAAGCTTTACACTCTATGCCCAAATACATATACAATATTGTATATGTATAGTTTTTATAATGTTGCTGAGCATTTTGAGTGTGTTCTTTGTGTGTTGAGAGTGAAGATTGCACTGTTCACAAAGGCAAACAGGGGGCATCTTCTACTTTGTATGGGAAGAAGAGGTTAGTTTGATTGTGATTTCTCTTTTAATTTGGTTAAATTCCAAGTTTGTTAGATTGTGTCTAATTCAGTTGTTTGCTTGCACAGGTTGAAGTCATTGGTTTATTAATGGTGGTGACCGAAATCAAACCTAAGTTCATGTTAAAACGATATCATAATTTTCGTTAAGGTGAGAACTAAGAACCTAACCTTTTTTTTTAATCCTTTGCGTTATTCTAAGTTGGTTGGCTTGCGTCTAATTCAGTTGTTTACTTGCATAGGTTGAAGTCACTGGTTTATTAATGTTGGTGACCGAAATTAACCCAAGTTCATGTTAAAACGATATCATAATTTTCGTTATGGTAAGAATTGAGAATCTAACCTTTTATTTTTAATCCTTTGCATTTTTGAAATTAAGAAATTGAATTACTTATCTATACCTTTTTTGTGATCATTCATTGAGAATTTGTTGATTGCTCTAATTTATATGAGGTAGGATTTCTACATTCGAAACTCCATTTCTCATCTTTAGAGATTGCTTGATTTCATATTGTCAAATAGTTTATGAATATCCATACTAAGTGTGTCAATATGTTGTTACAATAATTTAATTAGATGGTATTTGCTGCATTTTCTATGCAGTCTTTGTTTGAATCTTTACGTATTTATACGTTTAAGACATAATCTATGGTTACATTTTCGCCCCCGCAACAACACACGGGTTAAAATTACTAGTCTAACCTTGAAGAAAGCACACTTTTGCTCTCAATATGTAGCACACATATTCTTTAGAATATGCAAAAATTAATTTCCCATCGTACAAACTTTTTTTTTGTGAGTATATCGATATTTTTACACTAAGAGATGTGGAGTTCGGCTAAGGCACACAATGGATAGCTTAATCTAGTATCAAATTCGTCATCTACGAGATTCGAACTTAAGACATTTCACTTCCAAGTGAATAGGAATACCAAAGTAGAGACTTAGGAGTGTGTATTCAATAGGGATTTTATAGATTTTAATTTTTTTAATGAATCTAGGGTATTCAATTAGGATTTTAAAAATGTTTATAACATTTAAGTGTATTCAATTAGGAATTTGTTTTAAAGATTTTTTTAAAAAAAAATTGAGCTATTTGAGAGATTTCGTAGTGTATTTTGAGTATTCATAAATCTCACCTTAACCCTTGACATTTCGAATGAATTGAATTAAAATTTTATATGGAATTTTTACAAATCAATTAAACTTCATCAAAATCCATAGATTTCTAAATGAGTAAATTGTAGCAATGGTCCATCAACTAAACATTCATTACCATTGGTCGCTCAACTCATCAAAATGTGCAATTATAGTCCCTCAACTTTAATCAAATTTGAGTTATTTGAGGAAAAGTTAAACAAATTTACAAATTATCTTGTATTGTTGTCCTACTTTTTTAGGTTTCAATTTCCTTTAAATAACTGGGATGGTGAATTCAATTGAGATTTTGAGAGATTTTAATGGAGAAATGGTTTGTCAACTAAATCTACTAAAATCTCTCATAATCTCAATTGAATTCACATTCCCAGTTATTTAAAGGGAAATTGAAACCTAAACAAATAGGACAACAATGAAAGATAATTTGTAAATTTGTTTAACTTTTCCTCAAATAACTCAAATATGTTTTTCTATAAAAACTATACAGATTTGATCTCACAACCCAACTAAAACTCAATCACATAGGCACTCAGTACTACAATTATGTGATATTTCTCTTCACTTGGAAGTAAGGTCTTAGGTTTGAATCTCGTGGATGGCGAATTTGATACCAAATTAGGTTGCCCATTGTGTGGCTTAGCCGAACTCTCCCTCTTCCTAATATAAAAATATCGATGTACCAAAAAAAAAAAAAACTCAATCACATAAGCATGATTTCCTGAATGAATGCATATGATTTTTACCTTAAGAAGTTCACAAAATCAGCTTCTAGACCTCCTAATGGTGAGGATGTGCATATGAACCTAGGTTCGAATGAACTTCCTTGTAAACCAATCAAAATAACCAATCTCCTTCTCAACCTCCTGCAACCAAGACAGAGGCAACCAAGACAGAGCCGCTGTCAACAAGCTTATGATTTTCTGCACTGACCCATCTCTCGGAAACTTTGATTACGCCGAGGAAGTCTTCCGTTTCATCAAAGATCCGTGCTTGTTTGTTTACGATGTAATGATCAAGGCATTTGCCAAAAGAAGTAGCTTTAGAAGCGCCGTTGAGCTCTTCTGACTGCTGAGGGAGGAGGAATTGTGCCCTTATAAATTAACCTACCCATTATTTTAAAGCCATTGGATGCTTGGGATATTGGTGTGTAACCTTTCAACCGAAACTTGTAGCCAAAGAAACAATTCAAATACTTTATTTTAATAGTTGTTTTCAGTTTAAATTTAGGCCATTAGATCATAGTCCATATGGTAGCTCTCTCTTGTATCTAGCTTAAGTGATAAATTAAAACAAGTGGCATCATCTCATAGGGTGATAGCAATTAAGGGCTGAGATTGTATTTTGGTTTGATGTGTGAAGGATCTCCCTTCTTCTTCCATGAATAACGGTAACAAACCTCCCATGTTTTTTGTGAGGAATCCCAAAATCAATTCCATCATCACCTTTTGAAAATTCTTTGTAATTCTTTGGTAGTTTTCTTAGAATTGCATTATACCTTCATTGATTTATATCGAACACACACACACACACACACACACACACACACACAAACATAGCCTCAGAGCCAGGTTTCATCGTCTAAACTGAGCGTGGAATTTATGAGTGTGATTGAGCTGCATTTTCAGCTCAAATCGAATCTGGAAATTGCGATTTCTTGAATCCAAGTCTAACATGGCTGGATCAAGTAGTGCTCAGCTTAGAGCTTCGGTTTTCAATGGAGAGAACTACGAGTTTTGGAAGATTCGTATGATGACTATACTGAAATCGTATGGTCTATAGGAGTTGGTTGAAAATGAGTTTGAACCTCCAGATCCGAAGAATGCGAAGGGATGAGACAAAGAAGGAGACGCTAGAGGTGGTGTCATTCAGTGAGACCTTGATAAGAGATGCTCGTGCGCTTGGAATAATTCAAGGAGCTATCTCAGATCAAATCTTCCCCAGAATTGTGAATGAAGAAACATCCAAATGAGCTTGGGATGTCTTGAAGAGTGAATTCCGAGGAGATAAAATAAGAAGTGTAAAATTACAAAGATTGCGTAGAGATTTTGAGTATACTCGTATGAAGGATAATGAATCCTTATATGTGTATCTCCCTAGACTATTTGATATCACTAATCAAATGACAAGCTATGGACAAGAACTATCTAAGGAAAGAATTGTGCAGAAATTGCTAATTAGTCTCCCTACAACGTATGATGCAATCTATTATGTGATTAAGCACTCTAAAGATCTCGAAACTCTTGAGGTTCAAGAAGTTGTTGCTTCACTCAAGAGATTTGAGTAGAGGCTTGATTTGCATGATGAAACCTCCACTGTGAGAGCATTTGCAAGCTTAAATATTACAACTAAAGGTTCCAAAAGTGGTGGATATTCTGGAAATCAAAAGTTTCAAAAGAATTGGAAACCGAGAGGGAAAAGTTGGGATCATAAGTCTAACTTTGTCCATAGACAAAACAATGCACAGAGAAATTGGAATCACATGCCTAATTATACTCAGAAGCAAAATAACACTCAAGGAGATTGCAAATGGTGTGATAGGTTTCATTATAGGAAGTGTTGGTAATGCACAGGTTGTGGTAAACCAGGTCATGTTGTGAAAGATTGCCATTAGAATAAAGCAGTGCAAAAGGCTAATAATGCAAGGCAAATGGGAGAAACATGATCTTTATTCTATGCTTGCAAAGCAGTGACAGATGTGAAAGTCAACAACTCTTGGCATATTGACAGTGGTTGTAGTAACCAGATGATAGGTGATGAGAGGTTATTAGTCAATATCCGTAGAAATTTGACTTCTAAAGTAAAGATGGGGACTGGAGAAATTATTCAGGTACCTGAAAATGGAACTCTGGTGATAGAGACCAAATTGGGAAGAAAACACATACAAAAAGTGATGCTTGTCCTTGGACTCGAGGAGAATCTTCTTAGTGTTGGACAAATGATGGAGCATGGCTATTACTTGGTGTCTGGAGGAAATGTAGTGAACATTTTTTATGGCTGGTACTTGATAATTTGTTAGTTAGAGTGCAGATGACAAATAACAGGTGTTTTCCCTTAACAATGATGCCTGCAAACCAACTTGCACTAAAAGCAAGTGTCACACATTACTTTTAGATTTGGCATAAAAGGATGAAACACTTGAATGAGAGAAGTCTCAAATTGCTTGAAGAACAGGAAATGGTGCATGGATTGCCCTACTTGAAATGTCCACAAATGCATGTGAGGTGTGTATGATGGGAAAACAACACAGGGATTCATTTCCCTCTGAGTCAACTTGGAGAGCCAAGAATCCATTGAAATTGATTCACACATACATATGTGGTCCAATGAAAGCTGAATCTCACTATGGAAACAAGTATTTCCTGTTATTCACAGATGATTGCACTAGAATGACATGGGTGTATTTTCTGAGATATAAGTATGATGGATTTGAGTGCTTTAAGAAGTTCAAGGCAATGACTGAATTACAATGTGGCTATAACATGAAATGCCTCAGAAGTGATAGAGGCGGAGAATTTTTTTCTGCTTTTTTGACAAGTATTGCAGTTAACTAGGAATTCAAAGACAGTTGACTATAGGCTACACTCCCCAACAAAATAGAGTGTCAAGAGAGAGAGAATAGAACTGTGGTAGAAATGGCAAAATCAATGTTGCATGAAAAGAATCTTCCATATGTATTTTGGGCAACAGCAGTGAATACTGCAGTTTATTTGCTTAATAGATGTCCCTCCAAACCCTTGGATAAAACAACTCCATTTGAAGCCTATACTGGGAGAAAACTAAGAATAACTCACTTGAAGATCTTTGGTTCACTCTGCTATGTGCACATCCCTTCAAATCTCAGGCATAAATTAGAAGAAAACAGTCATAAGTGCATCTTTGTAGGCTATGATGCTAGTGAGAAGGGCTACATATTATTTGATCTGATTTCACGGAATATCATTCTATCAAGAGATGTTACATTTGATGAGAATGCTTCCTGGGATTAGAACTGCACTACAAGTGATGAAGTGAGATTTCCAGTTGTCACTGAGTATCAGAATGCTAATGAAATATGTGAAAGTGGTGAAGGCTTTCATTCTGAACAACTCACTACTTCTCAAAGTGAAAGTGTAACTAACAGATCTCAAGTATATGATGATACACCTAAAAAGTGGAGAAGTGTGAATGAAATCATGGCTCAGTGCAATATGTGCATTATTGAACCCGAAAGTTATGAGGATGCAGCGAAAGGCAATTAAAGCTCAGTTGGAAATGATAGAGAAAAACAATACATGGAAGCTTGTTGAGAAACCATTTGACAAGCCAGTTATTGGTGTCAAGTGGGTCTATAAGACAAACTCAACGTAGATGATAATGTGCAGAAAAAATAAAGCTAGATTGGTGGCTAAAGGCTATTCATAAAAGCTTGGAATTGATTACAATGAAACCTTTGCCCAAGTGGCAAGGTTGGATACCATAAAAACCTTGATTGCTCTTGCTGCACAAAAGAAATGGAGTTTGTATCAACTAGATGTGAAGTCTGCATTTCTCAATAGAGTGTTGAAGGAAGAAGTGTATGTTGAGCAACCACAAGGTTTTGTGAAGGAGAATGAAGAGACTAAGGTGTACAAATTGAATAAGGCACTGTATGGATTGAAATAGGCACCAAGGGCCTGGTACGATGAGATTGATGCTTATTTCAACAGTGCAGGCTTAAAAAAAAGCTCAAGTGAAGCAACCTTGTATGTTAAAACAAGGGAAGATTCAGGTAACATTCTTGTCTCCTTAAATGTAGATGATATTGTATACACTGGTAGCAGTTCAAAAATGCTTGAACAGTTTAGAGATGACATGATGAAGCACTATGAGATGATAGATTTGGGTTTGTTACATTATTTCCTTGGAATTGGGGTACTACAAACTGAGAAGAGTATTTTCATACACCAAAAGAAGTATGCGTAGAAGTTAATTGAGAAGTTTGGACTAAAAGGTTGCAAAACTGTGGTTACTTCACTTGCAATGAATGCGAAATTGAGCAAGATTGATGGAAATGAAGCTGTAAATGAAGGGGAATATAGGCAGCTTGTGGGGAGTCTACTCTATTTGACATCAACTAGACCTGATGTAATGTTTGCAACAAGCTTATTGGCAAGGTTCATGCATAATCCTACCAAGAAACACATGGGAACAACAAAGATAGGAACAACAAAGAGGGTGCTGAGATACATTCAAGGAACAATTGACTTCGGAATTGTCTTTGAAAAAGGGAAGGCAACTACTCTAATTGGCTACTGTGATAGTGACTGGGCTGGAAGTGAGGATGATATGAGGAGTACTTCAGGGTATGCTTTCACACTAGGATCTGGTGTGTTCTCATGGGCATCAATCAAGCAAAGCACTGTGGCATTATCCACTGCAGAAGCAGAATATGTAAGTGCTGCATAAGCTACATCTTAAGCAAAATGGTTGAAATTTTTGCTTAAGGATTTTGGAGAATAACAAGTAGAAGGAACTCAAATTATGTGTGATAATACATCAAGCATTGATATGGCAAAGAACCCTATCTTTCATCAAAAGACAAGACACATCAGCAGAAAATTTCACTTCATCTGAGAAGCAATTCAAGCCAAAGAGATTGAACTGGTGCACTACAAGACTGAGGAGCAAATTGCAGACATTCTCATTAAAGATTGATTTACCTACCTAAGGGAGCATCTGGGAGTTAAATCAGCTAAAGGGTTAGAGGGGAGTGTTGGTGTGTAACCCTTCAGCCGAAACTTGAAGCCAAAGAAACAATTCAAATGCTTTATTTTAAAGGAAAACTAATGAAAATGACTTGAAAACTTTGAGTTTTAATGATAAGGACAAAATAAAGAGTAAAGTGAATAGTAACAGGATTGACTTTTTAGTGTAAAAATGTGGTTTTTCGTTAAAGTAAATAGTACCACAGGCTTTTCGTTAAAACTCCCTTATTTTAATAGTTGTTTTCAATTTAAATTTAGGCCATTGGATCATAGTCCATGTGGCAGCTCTCTATTGTATCTAGCTTAAGTGATAGATTAAAACAAGTGGCATCATCTCACAGGGTGATAGTAATTAAGGGTTGAAATTGTATTTTGGTTTGATGAGTGAAGGATCTCCTATCCTCTTTCATGTATAACGGTAACAAACCTCACATGTTTGTTGTGAGGAATCTCGAAATCAATTCCATCATCAATCTTTTGAAAATTCTCTCTAATTTTCTAGTAGTTTTCTCAGAATTGCATCATACCTCCATTGATTCATATCGAACACACACACACACATTAACATGGGAAAAAACTGGAATTGGGTTTGTTGGTATGTGTGTAACTCGCTCATTGACATGTATGCGTAATTGGGCATGGTTGAGAGTTTCAAGCAGGTGTTTGATGAAATACCTGAGAGAAACAGGCTTTGTTGGAACTTGGAACGTTACGATTTCGAGGTATGTTAGGTGCAGGAGGTTTGAGGAGGCTTTGGATATGTTTCGGAGGATGTCATGTGAGAGCAACGATAAGCCTGATGAAGCTACGGTTGTGACCACCATTTCAGCTTACACAGCATCGAAAACTTTAGAGCTTGGTAAAGAAATTCATGAATATGTTAGAAGTGAACTTGGATTCACTACTAGAACTGGAAATGTGGTTGTTGAATATGTATGTAAAACGTGGTTATTTGATTGAAGGCCAGAGAGTTTTTAATGGGTATACAATACAACCGTTTTAACGAGGCGGTGGCTCTATTCCAAGAGATGCAAACTAAAAGAGTTAAAGGGGATAAATTTACGGCGGTTGCTCTACTCACAGGCTGTGCTCCGTTGGGAGCATTAAAGCACGAGGAATGGATTCACGGGTATATTGAATATAACAGAAGAATTAAAAATTGATGCAGCTGTTGATACTGCGGTTATAGAAATGTATGCAAAATGTTGGAGCATAGACAAATCTTTGGACTTCAATCATTTATAGGCTTGCAAGGAATGGCAAGACAAACAAAGGAATCGAGTTGTTCTTGAAAATGGTGCAGATTGGCATAAAGCCTGATGATTTCACCTTCATTGTTGTCTTAACTGACTGCGTTCACAGAGGGTTGGTAGATGAGGGTTGTGAGTACTTCAACTCCAAGAGAAAGATATATGAGATTGAGCGAGGTTAGAACACTATGGTTGCCTGATCGACCTTCTTGACCGTGCTAGACTGTTAGACGAAGCAGAGGAGTTGATAGAAAGGGTTCCAAGTGAGATTATAGTCCCGATTTCTATATGTTTGCATCCATGGCCAGTAACTGCACATTTCAATCTAAAATTTTGATTTAGGACCGAAAAAGTCGAAGTATGATGCTAATAATTTGGTTCCACAAGAGAATATGAATATTTGTAAAGCATAGAACAATAAATAATTGAACAACTAGTCAATATCGCAAATGAATTGTCAGTTAAATGAGGAACAAATCATCTGTTGGATGCGATCAAATCAAATGTCTGAATAATAGAGCTGGGAAAACGAGAAAGACAGCTGACGTTGTATGCGGGAGAGTATAATGCTGGAATAGCAACCATTCAACCGATTGGGCAATGCTCTCTCTTCAAAACTTTTGCCTTTTCAGTTTGGGTTCATCGGTAGTAGTCGTAATTTGATTAGTGGGATGATTATCAGATGCGCCATGGCTTGGTCCTAGACTTGATTCTTCATACAACCAATCCGGAACTACTTCAGATTCATATTCATAGTAATAATCACCCCAAAAAAGATGCTTGTTTTCCTTCAAAGGTTTGTCCCATACTAGATTTACCCCTGTTTTCTTCACTACAAAACCCTCTAAAAGAATAACAATCTTGTCCCCGCCTTGCAAATTGAGCTTGAGCTTATCGTTCGATAATTGTCCCTGCCAAAAAAAATTCTGTCTTGCTACCCAAGAACTGCTAGAGACCCTCGAAGTAGTATGCTTGGTCCGATTTACAACAGTAAAGGTAACATGTCCAAATTCGAATTGCGAGCAAACCCAGCAGAGTGTCAACCTTGTAAAATTACGACCATCACATTGAGGAACATCAAAACTGATTTTATTGCCGTCAGCGACAAAGTCAAACCACTCCGGAATATCATAAATCTCATTCAGAAAAATACCACCAACTCCGCAAGAAGTCCATCCCTATAATATACGTACAATGTAATATAGTGTCAAATACTTGTACACGTGCGGTTGTGTTTGTGTGCGTGATTGATAGAGAAAGACAAGAGTAGGAGGAGATAAAGATAGAGAAAGACCTGTAGGATGTTGTTCCTAAACTCAGATGTGAGATTGGCGCACTCATGCATACAAAGCACTGCCATGGAGTTTAATGATTTACCCAAGCCTAAACCTGGAACCTCTGTGAGTTTGGGCGAATCCCTTATATACAATTTTTTTATGTTTGACATTTGCGAAAAGTCTGGCATTGTTTCCAATGCAAAGCAAAATTCTGCTTCCAAGACTTCCAAATTTGTTGGTAAATCGGGGATTGCACGGAGATTCAAGCACGTCCATAACCTCAAATAAACAAGATTTGAAAGACCAGTGAGGCTAGGTAGGCTACGACAACTACGGCCTCCAACTCTCAACTCTTGTAAAGAAATTAGACGCCCAAGGTCGTTGGGGAATTGTTTTATGGCTGTAATAGTTGCATCAAGTTTTCTCAATGATACCATCTCCGCTAAGCCCTCGGGCAGTTCTCTTAATGCACCATACGACAGACGAAGAGTCTCAATAGATTTCAGCTTACAGAATTCCCCTGGGAGACACCTAATACCGCAGAATTCAAAATTTACCAAAGTGAGTCTTTTAAGTTGACCGATGGTTGGGTGAATCTTGGACAATCTCCAACAGCCGAAAAAATTCAATTCTCCGAGATTTGGGAGCCTTGAAAAGTCTGGTGACTTTTTTAATCGACGGGATTCACTGAAATCAAGGATTTTCAAATTTTCGAGCGGCTGCACAAACCCAAAAGAAAATATTATTCAAAATCCAAGAAGAATATGGCTTAAAAAATAAAATCAGAGTGGGAATTAATTATAACTCGCTAGGGGTGATTGTACCTTAGAATTCTTCCAGCCTTTTCTGAGTTTGCTGAACCGCAGGTCAAGAGCAACAAGTTTAGGCTGATTAAGAAGGTGCTCCGGCATGTACTTGAAAGGGAATCCATGCCAGCACAACCATCTCAACTCTTTCGGAAAATGTTTGAAGCTTCCAGCGAGCTCTACATGGTTGAGCCTTAGCAATCTCAGTTTTTTCATATTGACAAATGCTTTTGTACTGAAACTAGCCTTTTTTTTAGAGCTTGGCAAATCTAGAGAAAGTGCTTCAATTTCTTCAGTTCCCTATTAAGTAAACAAAAGGACAAATGATGAGTAATAAAAGGGTAATTTGCATCTGAAAAATGATTTACTTACAAACAATTGTCATATAATCGGTTGGAAATCGATTTAATTGCTTCTATTTCCACGTGAAGGTTTATTGTACTTACAAATATATTTCTACATAATATTATAAAATGTAAGCAGTTGCACTAGGATATGATTTAGCATGCATTAATATTGAACTTTATTGAGAAATTACTTACAGATTTATTTGTCAACACGTCTGTTACGACTTCAGGGTTCCACAATCTACCCAATCTTTCAGGTTGAGTAGGAGATTTTCTAGAAATGATTATCTTGCCCATTTCTCGAATCAAATCATGCATCTTCAGTGCGCCCCGTTCAACATCTACAAGGCACCGTTCACGGAGAATACTGATTCCTATTATTGGAGATAACCCACATCCATCTAATATTTTTGTGACATAATCCTTTATCACATAACCCTGGCCGATTTCAAGAAAGAAACATATATCAAGGAATATAGCCTTTTGAGTATCATCTAACCCATCAAAGCTTATTCTTAGTTTTTTAATAATGTCTTCTTCAGGTATTCTTTCCAATTTCTCCAGATAGCTTTCCCACTCTATTTTGGGTCTGCCAATAAGAGAAGAGCCTAAAACTTGGAGTGCTAATGGCAAACCCCCACAGTAAGAAACTACCTTATTTGACAATTCAAGATATTCTTCATTAGGACAAATATTGTCAAATGCATGCCAACTGAAAACCTCAAGAGCTTCCTCTTTATTCATTCCCCGATCTCGATATCTCATATCCACTCTCAGTTGATTTAGTAAATGCTCATTTCTTGTTGTTATGATAATTATACTTCCTGGACCAAACCATCCACGACTTCCAGCTATTGCATTTAGTTGCTCCACATTATCTACATTGTCAATAATGACAAGTACCCTTCTACGTTGGAGGTGTTGTCTTATAACAGTGATCCCCGCAGCAACACTACAAATAATTTGAGGCTTGGCACGTTGTAAGATGTCAGAAATAAATTTTTGTTGCAAACAGAGCAGACCATGTTGGCTTGTACCATGGTGGCAAACATCTTCAAGGAAGCATTTGAATTGGAAGCTGTGATGAATTTTGTTATAAATAGCTTTGGCAACAGTTGTTTTGCCCAATCCACCCATCCCCCAAATTCCAATCATTTTAACATCATCTGATCCACCACTTGAAAGATCACTGATAATTGGTTGAACACGAGAGTCGATTCCAACCGGGTATTTGGCCACATGTAATTCATCTGTGCTGGGACGCAATTCCCTAATATTCTCTTCAACAATTCTCCTAATAAGCTTTGCTTCATGCCTGAAAACTTAATTAGTCAGCATTAACTCAATGAAGGATTACTAGAAGCTATCACTGCACTCAATTAGTAAACATGAACGACATGGAGGGTGATAATATAGCCTGACTTCTTAGACTTTCAATTAAGGTTTAAGAGATTATGGTTTAGGATTTGTGAAAAAAAATAGAACCAGAGAAGATTGGAAGAAAGACACTGTAGTCTGTTGTGTTGGCCTTCAATTACTTGAGTGGTCCATCTGTTTAGTTCCTTTTGTTTGCACCATGGGCCCATCTGTTTGGTTCCTTTTGATGGTTTCTTGTAGCTTTTTTTGGCAATTCCAGGTTCAAATATACTGGTGTTACTTTTGTGGCTTTTGGGAGGGAAGAAATTTAGTATGTATTTTCATCGTCATTGTTTTTTGTTTGAGTGAGAGTTATTGGGTATATGTGTGATTTGAAGTTCAAGAATTAAACTCTATTTGTAATCTTTATTTTGATTAGTAATGAAATTTTCTCGCCGTCTTCGAAATGTATATAAGTTTAACCCGAACGAGTATAAATCTTTATGTCATTTTGGATTGTTTCGTTTTTGTTCTATTTTTTCGTATTAGTTTATTGATTTCATATTTGACACTTTCGCACATGTTATTTCTCATTGGTGCAATTATATACATATACGAATCGACTAAACTAGCATATTTCTATTTGGTACACTGATTTCAACCTCAAATCAACTTGCAATATATAAGAGAGAGATGCCCAATATCATTTAAACCCTAGAACAAAATAACCTTAATTTTCGATGCGTGAACTTGGAGTATTGTATATAACTTTCAATGCCAAAATTTCATTTTAGTAACATTGCTTTTTAGGTCAAATTAGCAAATTATGAGATGCGTCACCAACAAAAATTTAATCATCAAATAATTGTAAAAGCGAAATTTTGATTTAGGTGCTTCATTTTTAAATTTGTTAGACCAAACATCGCTGGCTTTTGGACTTTTTATTAAACGACTTTTTACAATTTTTGTGCCATATTTTTTAAATGTCGTCTTTCTAAGATTCAAAAATAATATCCAAAGCCCCTACCCTAAATCTAGCCTTCTTTATACCAAAATTAATATTAGTATTAATCCAAATAAATTATTAAGTTATCAATCGATGATATGTTTGCTCAAAAAAAAAAAAAAAATCAATCGATGATAAGTGAAAAAATTAAAACTAAACGTACCAAAATGTAAAATCAAACGTACCGAACCGTAAAACTAAACATAACAAATTATAATTTAACAATACGTACAAAAATGAAAGCACCAAAAATTAAAAATAAACGTATCAATCCATAATATGAATAAAATCAACGTATGAAAACTAACACTAAACCTACCAGTAATGTATACAAATAAATCTCTCAATGAAATGTGTACATAATAATTTTATAAAAAAATGTAAACATCCACCATTTTTTTATCTTGAAGATAAGATTATATTTTAATTTTAGGAGAAAAAAATCTTGCACGAAAAGATATAATAAAAGAGATAATTAGATAAATATTTAAGCAAGATTTTTGCTCACTACTCTAAACTTTGGTAAATGCTTACTATACACCTAATTATGTGCCATGTGACTTTTCAAATAACCATGGTTAATTTTTTTCAAAATTAAAAAAGTAATATTTACTGTAAATAATTGAAATGACACATGATAAATAATTAAGTGTATGGTGAGCAAAAATACTTCCAATATTTAAAATGAAAGACCATGATTATCTCTTAAAAAGGAGTCCACAACTTCTAAAATACCTTAAAAAAATGAGTTCTAGTATCATAAGTGTTTCTTTACAAGATCGCCCACTGAATTTGATCAAATCAAAATATACTGATTAACTCATGTTATGCTCTTCAGAATCAATTAAAAGAGATTTTCTAATTCCAATTACGAATTCGTTAGGCCCTTCTATAGGATAACTTCCGTCTGGAAGTTATTTGGCATTTTTATACCATAGCCATGATTCCTCATAATTTCGAAAATTGTAATCATCATTTTTAATTTGATAAATAAAAAAATACTGATGTAGCCTATTGTACCTAATCGTCTTACTCAAATCTTAAAAAGCACAGATGTTTGATAAAAAAACAAACTTCAAATTTTAGGCGTTTAAATATAATTAAACTTTTGTAAAATATATTTTAAATAGGTAGTCTCCTATCTCCTTAGCATTACTTATATTTTATCTCGCAAATCTTGATGTTTCAATAAAGCTATTTTTCCTGTGTGCTATTTGCCTAACAACCATTCATTAACATGTTTCAGAATGTGGAAAAGTATAAAATAGATAGCAGCATTACTATTAAACTAGTCTAGTATTGAAAGACGTCCAAGTCCAATGAAAATGGTTACCCATTATTAAGATGGTGGCCAGACAAATTTGCAGCTTGAGTAAGAGCCTCTCTCCACTGCTTTACCCTTTCTTTCTTAGCTTCACGTTCTTTGTCATCTTTTTCTTCAAGGATGCCATCTTCGTGCTTCTGAAATGCTCGGGCTAAACAACCTTCCTGCTTCCTCACATGTGAAGGATCGACATGATAGAATATTGGCAAAACCTGTTGCCCCAGCTTTTCTCTACATTCCATGATCTTCACCAGCTCATCAAGACACCATCTTGATTCCGCGTAACACCTTGAGAAGACAATGACCGAGATTCTGGACTCTTCGATTGCCTGCAACAGTTCGGGTTTTATTTCTCCCCCTCTTTTCAGATTGTCCTCATCAATAAAGGCATCGAAGCCCCTGTCTTGTAATGCCGCGTGAAGGTGGCCCGTGAAGCCATTGCGTGTATCTTCACCTCTAAAACTCAAGAACACGTCGTAATTCCAAAGTTTTGAGGAGGATTCATGGGATGTCATGGTGTGGGGCTACTGTTTACGGCACTAGAGTGGTTCCAATCGAGCGAAAAAAATGGCAGCACAAGAGTATATATAATACTGAAGGGACACTAGCGTTCCTCCTAATATTTGGCTCTTTCCAGGAAGCAGCCGCCCTAAGTTTTGAAGAAAACAAAGGATTGGAAGAAAAACAGCTTTAAGATGAATCGTGCGTTCAACAAAGTAAAAGGACACTAACTGATGGGACTTGAGTCGATGATAGGAAGGGTTTGCAAGTGCTTTTTACTTTGTGCGCTTGCATAACTAATTATTGCTGAGATGGGGGAAAGAGTCGGCAAAAGTAGCTGGTAGCGTTCACATTAGGGGTGGACAAACGGGTTTTGGACCCATGGGTCAGGACGGGTCCACGTGGGTCGGGACGGGTACAAGTTGGGTCCTAATATTGTGTAGAAGAAACAGGGCGAGTGGGGTGGGTTTGAAGTATGGACGGGGCAGGGCGGGCCTAAAAGTTATAAGAAATGGGGCCCCGGATCAAAATGTTCAACTATTGGATTTGACTGGATTTAATCTAGAAGACGCGTGGCAAGACTTTTTGCCAAGGAAATGTGTGCCTTCACCAAACTCAATGAAGACTTTTCTTCTTTCTGCCAAGTTGCGTGTCCATCATCAAAGCAAATGGAACTTTTCTTCTTCATGCCAAGAAACCAAAACCATTCCCCAAAAATCCCACAAAACCCACAAATTCCCATAATCTAATCCAGGAATCATCTTAACCTGGTTTTTCTCCCACAAAACCAGCTCATTTCCCGACCCAAATATTCATTCTTTCTTTAATTTCAGATGGATCTTCACAAAAATTCAACAACTATCGTTCTGGTTTGTTTCTGTGATTTTCTCCATGTTGTTTTCCAACGCGTCGACAAATTTCGTGTTCTCCGTTGGCTACAAGTTCAACGGTGCTGCTTTTGCGGTGGATCTGCAGCTCGAGGGCAATGGCTATCCATTCAAAATCATTACTTCGCCAAGCTTGGGATTGAACCTGTGGAACCAGCCCGTTTCAAACAGGTCGGGTTAGGTCCGGTTCTACATCTCAAAATCCTTATACCTGCCTTGCCCTGGGCCATTGCATTTTAAAACGGGTCTGGTCCTATCCCTTCAAATTTGGGCCCGGCCCGGCTCGTGCCCACCCCTAGTTCACACCCTTTTAGCGAATATCTAAGCATCGACACTGCAAACCGAAAGTTCTCGAAGTTAAAAAGGTGTCTGGATAGATGTAGTTCAATTGGGATTAAAAAAAATCATATTTTAACGAAAAATCATATTTTTACACTATAAAATTAATTTTAGTACTATTTAGGGCTGGTGTGGTATTGTTGTGCTTTGAAAAAAAATTGCTTCTGTTGTGCTGTGAAAATAAGCAGTTGTGAAATAAAGCAGCAGAGTGTTTAGTAAACTTTTTTGTAAAAGTGCTTTTGGAAAAAAATAAAAAATAAAAAAAGGCAGTATTATAGTGTTTGGTAAACTTTTATGTAAAATAACTAGTGACTATGTGAAATGACCAAAAAATGTATAATACTAGATGTGTCATTAATTTAATTTTCTTAAGTTTTCCCCCTTTATTTTCTCCATCTGCATTAAGAAGTCTCTCCCACTACCCCACTACTGAACCAGACTTTCCAAAAACCAAAAACATCTCTCTAGAAGTCTTCCCCACAACCTCAATTTTCTCAGTTTTTATTTTTTTTGCTTTGTCTTCTTCTTTTTTATTTTATGCTTCGTTCCTCAATCTCTCTCACCTATCATCTGATTTGCAGTACATACATGGTCTACCTGCTCGACGAGTTCATTTTATACATTGGGCAGGCCAACGCTCCAGATGCTGGTTTCTTTCTTCTTCCAGGACAAAACATTTTTTCTTTTTGAAACTATATAGTGTGAATTTGATCATACAAAGTAGTTTCCTATATTTAATTATGGATATTTGGAATAATTGAGTTTTGGTGTCCGTTGGGCAATCTGGGCTCTCCTAATTTGCATAAATACAAAGATCAGTTGCATGTAAGCGGTGCAATATGGGAAATTTGGGCAAATTTGCGATGCCAAAACCTAATCTAGGTCCTCAGCCAAAAAAGATGGTGATACTTCTCAACGCGATTTTGTCAGCATGGGAGTGAGAGAGGACGGACAAGAGATGGGAGGAATGACAGAGGCAGAAACAACGTCCTAGAGTATGGAATCCAAGGTCAATAACGATGATTGTTGAAGCTGAGAGTGAACAAAGTTATGGCGGGATCGACGAGGGCAACCTCCCAATTGAAGTCGGTGATGTTTTCCAGTTGGTATTACGTGTATTATTCAATTGTTTAAGGTCATTTTGGGTGTTTGAAAGTTTCATTAAAGGGCTCAGTGCCTCTTGCAAATTAGGTTTGTGCAGAAGCTGTGGAAGTAAAAAAAGTCGGTTTTTCAAAGCTAGCTTTTGCTGCTTTAAACTTTCAGCTTTTTTCACCCAAAACGGTAAAAAAAACTGAAGTTGAATGTTTACCAAACACAAAAAAAGCTCATAGTTTTTTTTTATACTCGCTTTTTTTAAAATCACCTCAGTACCAAACCAGTACTTTATCGAGTAAGATTCATTTAAAGTCTGTTCTAATTTGTTGAAGATCTCAGCAGATTTTGAGTAATTTTATTGATTAGTGATGTAATTGTGAATATAATATCCCACCAAAAATTGACAAAATGAAAAGAAAAACAAAACATGTCGTCAGATAAAATTTTCTCTCTTTCTTTTACCCATTAAAGTAATTTTTTCTTTTTTATGTTTTGGAAAATAATTACAACAAAAAATTATGAAGAATAAGGAATGGGAAAGAAGCTAAAAAAAATAAAATTCCACCAATGAGAGGGGATGCAAAGAGAACGTGAGGGCACGTCCTAATTTATTAAATGTTTAGCCAAGAAGCCCATGTTCCATGTTCTTCTCATTTTTTGGTCAATGCATTTTGTACTTCTTATTAATTTGTTAAAAGTTTCAAAGTTAGACAATCTCCTAGGATAAAATTTAAAATATAAGCTTTAAAATCCCTCAAACCGTCTTCAATCATTAGGCTAAAATAATTATGGGAAGAAAATATAGTTATGAGCTCATTGAGCTAGAGTTCTCCTAGGATTAAAGTCTGGCTTAAATTATTTTGGACCTACCAAATTGTTATACTTCAATTTTTTTTTTTTTTAACTTATAATCTAACGGCTATAATTAAAAGATATCAAATCTAATGGTAAAAAAAAATTGACTGCCAAAATTAAATCTAACGTCTAAAATAATTTAAGAAATGGAAGTTTTATTTGAACCCATATTTTGTATCTCAACACCCATCTTACTTTTTTTATACCACATTGTATTTAATTTATTTATCATTATCTCTTTACACCCAACGTTATTTCCGAAATCACCCTTACTTATCAAAACTTAACTCAATCAAACTTCTTTTTACACCCAACTAAATCTACTTAAAAATAAAAAAATAAAACCCTAACAAGTCATTCATCTCCATGGAGCAAAGCCCCTTCTCTCTCTCTTTAAAAAAATCCTTCCATCCCCTATGGTTGTCATTCTGCACCCCCATCTACTTCTCCGTAGTCATCCAAACCTCTTTCTCTTCCTTTTCTTCATCATTTGACATCTCTAAATTTCTAGAGCACTAATTAGCTTAATAATTGGTATGTGTTCAATCGATTGGTTCAATTTTTACATATTGATTCTTTTTTCTTTTCAATTAAATGAGCTTCTGCTTGAAGTGTTTAATGAGTTTGGTATATTTCAATTAAATGAGAATCTTCTAGACTCTATATTCCTATCTGTGGTAGAAAAATAGGTACGTCCATGATAGCTTTTGGTACATCAATGAATATTTTTAACCGTGGATATTTATTAGATGCAAAAGTTGCAGACAACAATTCACATTACATTGAACTGTGGCTAAAAATTATATTGCCTTTGCACGTTTTAAAGGCGAACTCATAGCTAAGCAGTTTTTATTGTGGAGCAAAACTTCGAGAATTGATATAACCTGAATGTGTAATTGAGTTTATGTATTTTAATGATTTAAACTGATAAATATTTCAACCACATATGGATTTAATATCGTAGTACCTTTTAGCCTTTATATGCCACAAAAGTTGCAGACAAAAATTCACAATACATGAAATTGTGGTAAAAAAGTATATCGCCTTTGCACATTTTATAGGCGAACTCATAGGTAAGCAGTTTTTATTGTTGACCAAAACTTTCGGGAATTGATCTAACTTGAATGTATAATTGAGCTTATGCATTTTAATGATTAAATTCATAAATATCTCGACCGCATATGAATTTAATATCATAGTGTCTTTAGCCTCTATATTGGTATCTGTGGCAAAAAAATGGATACCTCCATGAGAAAATTTTGTAGATCGATGAATATTTTCAATCTGAATATTTATTAGATACCAGAAATTATTAGTCTATTCACGAAAGTCTAAGTCAATGCCACGTACAATTATTTGGAGAACTGTTATTAGCACTCCAAAAATCTCATTCTACACTTTGCATAAGTGTATTTTTCTTTCTAATTATAGAAGGTTTGGAGTGCCAAATGAGATTTTTGGAGTGCTAATAACAATTTTTTATATTTATATACATTTTATTTTAGTTTGGAAGTCGACTTTTTTTTTTTTCTTATCAAGTTGGGAGTATCATTGACTGTGACCCTATGTAACTAGTTGTTGATTTGTTTTGAATAATCAACATTATTTCTTACAATGTCTTGGGCATATGAATAACAAAAAGAAAACGGTCATGATACAAGCTGAATAAGAGTAGCACTAATTAGTAAACAACTTGTGCATGATGTTTGCTTATAACCCAGTGGCATGAAGGGAAAAATGTGTATGTTTCATGCATGACTTGGAATAGTATTAGTAAAGTCACACACGCCAATCAACTTGTAGGCAAGTGACTATTTACCACAATGGTAAAAAAGTGTTGTGCTCTTGCATAACGGTGTGGATTCGAATTCTATGAGTGACTAATCTAACATCTAACTTACTAATGCTAATGTATGTAGTGGATAAACACAATCTCAAAATTTTAATTAAACTCACATAACAACGATAAATAAAGGCATTATCACAACTTACGGGTGGTGAGCAATCCCATTAAAATAGAACTTAATATATACATATTAAAAACAAAAACATATTGATGAAAAATCTCCCAACGACTAATACCATTCCAAGTCATGCATGAAACATACTCATTTTTCCCTTCATGCCACTTGGTTATAAGCAAACATCATGCATTTACTAATACAATTCCAAGTCATGCATGAAACCTACACATTTGTCCCTTCATGCCACTTGGTTATAAGCAAAGATCAGTGCACAAGTTGTTTACTAATTAGTATGACCGTTTTCTTTTTGTTATTCATACACCTAAGACATTTTAAGAAATAACGTTGATTATTCAAAACGAATCAACAACTAGTTGCATAGGGTCACAATCAGTGATACTCTCAACTTGATAAAGAAAAAAAAAAAAAAAAAGGGAAGTCGATTTCCAAACTAAAATAAAATGTATATAAATATAGAAAATTATTATTAGCACTTCAAAAATCTCATTTGGCACTCCAAACTTTCTATAATTAGAAAGAAAAATACACTTGTGCAACATGTAGAATGAGATTTTTTTAGTGCTAATAACAGTCCCCTAAGTATGTCTTAACAAATATTGTACGTGGCATTGACTTAGACTTTCACGAATAGACTTATAATTTCTTGTATCTAATAAATACCGAAATTGAAATAATTCATTGATCTACAAAATTTTCTCATGGAGGTACCCATTTTTTTGCCACTGATACCAATATAAAGGCTAAAAGACAATACGATATTAGATTCATATGTGGTCGAGATATTTATCAATTTAATCATTAAAATGCATAAGCTCAATGATACATTCAAGTTAGATCAATTCCTGAAGTTTTGGTCAACAATAAAATTGCTTAGCTAGGAGTTCACCTATAAAACGTGCAAAGGCGATATACTTTTGAACCACAGTTCTATGTATTGTGAATTTTTGTCTGCAACTTTTGTGGCATATAGAGACTAAAAGATAATACGATATTAAATCCATATATGATCGAAATATTTATCAATTTAATCATTAAAATGTATAAACTCAATTACACATCAAGGTTAGATCAATTCCCGAAGTTTTGCTCCACAATAAAAACTGCTTAGCTATGAGTTCGCCTATAAAACGTGCAAAGACAATATACTTTTTAGCCACAGTTCAATGTAATGTGAATTGTTGTCCACAACTTTTGCATCTAATAAATATTCACAGTTAAAAATATTCATTGATCTACCAAAAGTTATCATGGATGTACTTATTTTTCTACCATAGATAGGAATATAGACGCTAAAATATTCTCATTTAATTTAAACATATCAAACTCATTAAACACTCTAACCTGAAGCTCATACCGAGTATTAAGCTAATTAGTACTCTAGAAATTTAGAGATGTCAAATGATGAAGAAAAGGAAGAGGAAGAGGCTTGGATGACTACGGAGAAGTAGTATGGGGGTGCAGAATGACAACCATAGGAGATGGAAGGATTTTTTAAAGAGAGAGAAAAGGGGATTTGCTCCATGGAGATGATGGACTGGTTAGGGTTTTATTTTTTATTTTTAAGTAGATTGAGTTGGGTGTAAAAAAAAGTTTGATTGAGTTGAGTTTTAACAAGTAAGGGCAGTTTTAAAAATAATGTTGGGTGTAAATAGATAATGATAGATAAATCAAATACAATGTGGATATAAAAAGTAAGCTAGGTGTTGAGATACAAAATATGGGTTCAAATAAAATATCCTTTAAGAAATTATTTGAATCAAATTTAACTTAAAACTTTATGAATAGCTATGTATTTGTATGATTTTTAATTACTTATCGGAATTTAAATATTTTTATATTAAAATGTTCATAAAAATAAATTAGGATAATCTACATAAATTTTATTTTAAAAAAGGTTACCAAAAAAAAATTAGGCTAAAATCATTATTTAATAATTTTGGACTAAAATTTTAAGCCATGAGAGTTGGAGGAGAAAAATAGTTTATGGATTATGACTTAAAATTTCATGATTTAAATTTTTAAGCTTTATCTCTAAAGGTTGTACATGGTCTTAGAGCACCCATCAAATTGTGTACTTGACATAATGGTTTTTAGGATACAAACATTTATCAAGTGCCACACTTAGAGGATCCATGTGATTGTGTAATTGTCTAATCAGATGATGTAGTGGACCTTTGAAGTAGAGAAAATACTTGCCCACATCGAGTTTTCCAATGCGGGAAACAACCATTTGTTTTCAAGCCTTTGGATGCTTGGGAGAAGTTCGGGAACGTGAAGGTTCATGGGTTTGGGGTAAAAACTGGAATTGGCTTTGATGCGTACGTGTGTAACTCGCACATTGACATTGTTGAGAGTTTCAAGCAGGTGTTTGATATTTGCCTGAGAGAAACTGGCTTTGTTGGAAC